ATGGTGAAGTAGGGTTTTTTGGTTCTTAAAAGTTTGGGAATGAAGGTAGAATGAACCTCTATTTATAGCTGAAGATGATGGAATGCTAAGACGGGTGAATTGAGTGGAAATTTAGTGTAATCGTGTGCACCTTCATCATGGAAAAATGTGACTTGTATTAGCTCAAAACTCAAGCAAACCATGTGTTTTACCACTCAATTAACTTCAGGAACCTTGGTTAATCATGTTTAGATGCATATCACGTGTTAATTTGACTTGTAATTCAAATTTAGTTGGAGAAAAAATCTGATCATAGTGCAAAACTTCAGTTTCAAGTCTCAATGTTTGCATTAATGCGACATCCTACTCAAGAGGCTTTTCTCCACCATTCTTTTTGCAATGTGTAGTCCTCATGGCCTAGTTTACAATGTGCAAAGAAAGTATTCATTTGATCATCTGAGAAGAAAGTTATGATGTGTTGAAGTTGGAATGAAAAACTAGTCATCATACTTAGAAAAATTATAAGTCTTTGAGGTAGAAAATGACATATAATGTTTCAACAAATTTCAAGGCCTTCCAAGCATAATTTGATCTTGACTATTGAAGCACACTTGTAGAGGGCATTGTAAATGATATTATGCAAAATGAATCAGCTTCAAAGAATTAAAATTGAAGAAGTTGTAATCCTTGAAAGTTGAGAAAAAATCACTTGAAAATATATCAATTTGCAATAAGTCCATAAATGGCCTATAATATCTTCAAACTTTTGATGGTCCTCCAAGCATAATTGACTCTTGTCATGTAAAGAAAAGTTGTGGAGGATATTGAGAATAGTCATATGCAAAAAGAAGCACTAAAAAAATATGGAGAATTGAAGGAGTTGTAGTCCTTGGAACCTTGATTTGAAAATGTTGACTTTTTGGTTAAATCTTCTTCAACCAACTTGTATACTTGAGATTTTCTTGCACTTCAAGGTACATGGATGATCATATGAACCCAAAATAAGATGTTTTTAAATTTCCTTTGATTAAATTGACCACGATTTGAGATAACTTATTGAAGAATGCATAGAAATAAACACATGAACATCTGACTTTCTTAAGAAACAAGCCACATAACCTGAGGTATTCTTGATCAAAATGATATAGGATGATGCTTAAGAGCATATACCTTGATATTATAAGCCACGTCTTGAGAAACAAATTCTTGAGAGTCAATAGATGCTCACACTTTGACTTGATGGATCAAAATCTTAGCTGAGGAACCAAGCATGGCGTTCTTGATGAAACGTCATACCTTAAAGAAACAAGACATATTTTTTGCATTTTGATTACTGGTTAGTTAAACAATAAGCCTATAAACTTAAAGATAAAACACACAAAAGGGTGCTTGGTGATGTTAAACAAACAAAACCCCAAAGGATGAGAGGGAATAACTAAATGTGTGATCTTATTTGTGTAAAGATGCAAATGATAAGTGAAATCTTAAGGTTAAAAATTAGAGTATGACAGACACTAATATACTTGACAATTGTCATTATCAAAATTACAGTGTTGTTTTCATCAAAATCATATAACTATTTGTATAGTACATGTACATTACATAGAACCATAATGTTGATTAATAAATTTTAAAATATTCAAAAATGTGAAAAATCTCCATTTTTATATTCCATAAATAATAATTTTCTCTTTCAAATAAAGTGACGTAGACACAGACATTGCTATAAGTAGAGGTGATGTTTGTTGAGACATAACTTGAAAAAGTCATGACTCCTCACCTTTAATCTTCTCTCTATATCTGTATTGCAAAGATCTAGTACGTTGATACCACTATAATGGTAGTATTAGCAGAGATACTACACATGCATGTAACCATGGATCTTGCCAAACAGATAGTTTGAATCATATTCCAATCCAAACAGACCTTCAAGAATTTCCACTGTTGAGTAGTTATAGTCCCTACCAATATCAACGTATTTGACGATTGTGGTAAATATTTTATACTAGTTTAGATATAACATTTCAAAATATTTTTCCTCTCAATTTTTGGAACTAGAAACTTAGTGTAACCGTAATGTAGGAGAGACTTGATTGTTGTCCTACAATTTAAAAAACAAATAGAATGCTTACCCTACAAAAACACAAATGAACACGTAGTTTAACCGGTCAAAATAGCGGTGACAAGTGGGATATACAAGTAAGCAGTTGCAGGCCCAGCGTAGATTCTACATACAGAGGATTCCAATTTCCAAAAGTCAACCTTTTAAAAATGTCGGCTTATAGTCAAACACCAACGTTGGAAAGAGAAACCAACCAACTAATGCATTCAAAAGAGAAGGTCAAAATATTATCATAAACAAAACAATATAAAGTCAAAAGAGGCAAATAATCACAAATACCCTATGCTTACAGTAATACCCATGTGCTATTTTATCTTCACTTTTTTTTATGTTTTATTTTTATTTTTGGATTTAATCTAAAATATTTGTAAGTAGTGTTCACTTTTTTTAGAATAAAAGCAACATTACGCAGTATAATAGTATTCATTCACTATGCATATTAGAAAAAGTTTTATACTCGAACTCATAGATACGGTTGTCTCAACTTTATACCAATTTTTATATTCTTTTTGTATTTAAGTATTGGTATATGTATTTATTACTCACATAAAAATAAATTGATGTATTGAAAAGTATAATATCATTTTAAATTTATATTAACAAAATTTAAATATCCAAACAATTATATCAAAATGCATGATAGTTTAATATTAAAATTAGACTATTTTATTTGGAAAGATAGGAAATGAGCTTTTTCTTTGTTTTGAAAAGATTCTTAGTTTGATGGTTTCCTGTGAAGGTAAGATTTAATAGGTTATTGATTTAGTGGAGAATAAGATGACATCAATCGCAGAGATGAATGAGTTGGGATAAAAGGAGAGCGGTGAGAGGTGGAAGAGGGGTTGCTTGTATGGAAGGAGGACTTAGTGGGAGAATATATTTAATCGTTAATCTCAGTTGTTTTACAGGTGAATGTAGAAGATCTTTGAGTTTGGAATTTACATCCCTCTTGTTATCACACATAGTGCTTATAAAAATTTGTCTGAAGTTGACGTCAACAACAATTAGGATAATTCTCAAAATTTGTTGTTGAATACTGTGTTGCTTAAGATTACTATTTTTGAATGGCAGTTACTTTTGAAGCGTATTCTGACTAAGGACAATTTAGTTAAGAGGCGGATTCTTGCTACGAACGATCAAATGTGTGACGAATTGTGGCATGGATGAATATAGAGATAATTTGTTGAAATATGTGATTTTTTTAGTAGAATGCAGCCTATTATTTCAAATTGGCTAGGTTTTTCAATGACATTTTTAAAAAAAAATATTGGATCGTCCGATACAGTTGGTGAAGTAGGTGGTTTTTTGAAGAATGTTCGATTGCGTTTTAATACTATTGACTCTTTGTGATTTGGATTATTTAGAAAAGGCGAAACATTCGTACTTTTTAAAATAAAGATGAGCATTTGTAGTTGTTATTAGAGATGGTAAAACTTCAATCTTATTAGTGGTAAAGTCAAAATATGTTACTTTTGATTTTGATTATTAAGTTTGGAGGCTAAATCCTTTATCTTTCTTTGTGTTGTAGACCACTTTGCACTATTTTTTTTTCTGAATTTTATGTAATTTCACATTCTTTTTTATCATCTTCATTACATCTTGTGCTGAAATGACTTGCTTTGACCTTTAATATATTTTTCATTTTGGTATTTTTTTAATAGTCTCAGTGATGTATTTTTCATGATTTGGTTTCCTTTTTATCATTAAATAAAAAAAGAAAAAAAGTACCAATAAATTGATATTTTAAAAAAAAATGGTTTTCAAGTTTACCAATATATTAATTAAATGATTTATATGTTTATTTTGCGCATAATGGATTTATGTATACGTCCAAATTGCATATTTTATCTATTTTTAAGATTATAAAACTTTTGAGTCATTGTGTTAAAGGACTGGTTAACCTTGCACAAAATTGACTTTGATTGCCTTCCCTCTCTAATATTTCTTCAAGACTGTCTAAAGATTTTTGAAATTATATGTAAGTTAGACACAATCCAACTTTAAAAAAATAATTAGAAATACTATTTAATCTTGATTTACCGTGAGAAAACTATTATATAGAATCTCATTTAATTATAAAATTTTAGTTACGTGGTAATAACCACTCAAAACACTCAAAACGTATGCACACAATCATTATTGTCTCTCCATATTTCCATTTTTCGTCAATGCCCTTCATATATGCAGAGTGATCTTTCACCCTTTTGTTGGTCGCGACCAAGGGTGGCTAATTAGACGGTCTCTTTCAACATGTTTGTTTTACTCGCACTTTTTTATCAGATAGACTAAGATTTTAAATTTGTACTCTTCAGTATTCTAACTTTATCCCATTTTTGTGAAATTTTATTGATGTAGATATTAACATAAATTTTTATAATTTTTAACTTTTAACGTGCAGTCCTCATAAATCTGCCCCACCATACATTCATTTTTTTTATAAGAATTAAAGTTTTAAATTCACATCTTCATCTGTTGTTTTACTCCGTCCATTTTTTTTTTAAACTTTTGTAAAATATATATAAACAGAGCATACATGCCACGACGGACCACGATGCTCGCTCATGAGAGCCTTACTATTCACCAATAAACCCAACTTTGTCTTGTTCAAGTTCATGTAACACTTACTAGATAACTTTGGTCAATTTTAATATTTTCCATGATCACATGGAAAAGTCATAACTCACATTCTCTCTCCCTTTTCGAAATTAATAAAATATAAATGAAAGAGCATAAATTTACGTGTATTGACTTTGCCACAATTTGAAAACTATAAATAACAACACCGCTACTCTTCTCTCTCTCTCAAGCAAACCAATTCATCCATTTTCTCAACCCTTCACCAAAAAAGCAACAACTTCTCAAAAAGTCCAAACTTCCTGCTTCTGAATATTCGTACACAATGAACCAAGAGATGGATGTTTCACCATTTTTCCTTTGCCCTATTTCACTACAACTCATGAACGATCCGGTTACCGTCTCTACTGGCATAACCTACGACAGACAATCCATCGAAAAATGGCTCTTTTCATCCCAAAACAATACATGCCCGGTCACTAAACAACAACTCGCACATGATCTTCAAAATCTCATTATTCTAACACCAAACCATACTCTTCGTAGACTCATTCAAGCATGGTGCACACTTAACTCCTCTTACGGCGTCGAAAGGATTCCAACTCCAAAACCACCAACAACAAAAACCCTTATAGAGAAACACCTCAAAGAAGCTTCTGATTCTTTAGATTCACCTCATTTACTTATTCAATCCCTCAAAAACCTCAAAACAATTGCCTCTCAGAGTGAAACAAATCGGCGGTGTATCGAATCTGCCGGTGCGGTAGAGTTCTTAGCATCAATAGTTACAAAATACAACACAAGCTGTTCATCTTCATGTTCAACAACAGAATTAACTGAAACTACCGTTCTCGAGGATGATGATATTGAAGGTTTTGCTTTTGACTTTGATATTGGTGCGGATGATGAAGCTATAAACATCCTTCACAATCTTCATTTAACAGAACAAGGTTTGAAAACTCTCTTAAACTTCAAAAATGGAGAGTTCTTAGACTCATTAATGAGATTATTGCAAAAGGGTAATTACGATTCAAGAACATACGCAGTTTTTCTGTTGAAATCTATGTCAAAGGTTGCTGATCCATCAAAACTAGCAAATATAAAAACCGAGTTTTTCGTCGAACTAGTTCAGCTTCTTAAAGATCAGATATCAAAAAAAGCATCAAAAGCAACTCTACAAACGTTAATTCAAATCGTTGAATTTGGGAGAAATAGAGTAAGAGCAGTGGAATCAGGCTGTGTTCAAGTTTTGATAGAACTTCTTCTTGACTGCAAAGAAAGAAAACCATGTGAGATGATTTTGGTGCTTTTGGAGATGTTATGTCAATGTGCTGATGGAAGATATGAACTTTTAAGCCATGGATGTGGTTTAGCTATTGTTTCAAAGAAGATATTGAGGATTTCAACAATGGCTAACGATAGGGCAGTGAGGATTCTTCTATCTGTTGCAAGATTCTGTGCAACACATGTAGTTGTTCAAGAAATGCTGCAAATAGGTATTGTTGCTAAGCTTTGTTTGGTTCTTCAAGTTGATAGTGGAAATAAGGCTAAGGAGAAAGCAAGGGAGATTCTTAAACTTCATGCTAAGTCTTGGAGTAATTCTCATTGCATACCTTTTAGTCTGCTAGCTTCTTACCCAACAAGTGGTTGAAAAATTAGACGGCTTTTTCACTTTTCATTTATTTAACCCCATTTTTGGGATTTTTAGTTTATAGAAATTAGACTTGCTTAAAGAACATTAATGGGAAAATGGGAAAGGTGTGAACATAAAACACTGTCCATGAAAAATGGTTTGGAAACAAGTTGGATTAATAACTTATTTGTAAATGACTACACCATAGGTTGATACAAAAGTTTGTCATGGCAATGTTGATACCTATTTTCTCTCTCTTTTATCTTCTTTAGACTTTTTTGTTTTTTTATCTTTATTTATGGTTAGTGCTCGGAAGTGTAATGAGCTTTACTTCGATTTGAGATTTCTTCATTGAGATTTAAACTTTTTTTGAATCGAAGAAATCCAGTGGTATGGAATAGAATTAAATTTCATTGCTTGCAACGGTTAGTGCAAACTCTATACATGCACTCAATGACGAGAAAAAGAGATCGGAAAGAATGAACAGGAAGTGAGTATAGATTGGTGAATGTAATATTATAGATTGAATGATTCCTAATTTTTTTTCTAAGAGACGAGAACCTATCAATCTTGAATCTCTTAGTTAGAATGTCAGCAAGTTGAAATTCACTTGAATAATGTTTCACCTCTAGTTTCCCTTGATTCAATTTGAATGTCAGCAAGTTGAAATTCACTTGAACAATGTTTCACCTCTAGTTTCCCTTGATTCAATTCCTCTCAAAAGAAATGAAATCTAACTTCTATATGTTTGCTTCTGCTATGAAGGACTAGATTCTCTGCTAAGTTAATTGCTAACTTGTTATCCAGCTCTCAAACAAGTGGTTTCCTAACTTGAATTTTCAACTCACTTAGCATTGATTCAATCCAAATGGCTTGACGTACTACATAAGATCCTATAATATACTCGGCCTTACATGAGGACAATGCCACAACTGGTTGTTTTCTAAAACATCATTAGATTGGTGCAACAAAAATCCTAAAGAAGTAACCAGTTGTACTTCTCCTATCAGATTTGTCCACACAGCAGTCTGAGGTTAAGTAACAGGTGATTACTACATCATTATAATATGAACTTCTAGAAAAGAGAATACCATAATTGACTGTTCCATATTCAAATATCTAAGAATTCTCTTTGCTGCTTTTATGTGAGAAATTTTAAGATGATCTATATGTCTGCTTACTAAACCAACTTAAAAACCAATGACATGCCTGTTATTGCATATGTATTTTATTGATCTTACAATTTGTTTGAACCAAATTGCATCATCCTTATCTTCATCACCATTTTTCAAAAGTTTTAGATTTGCTTTACTAGGCAAGGTTGAAGGATTAGAACCAACCATTCTGAATCTCTTGAAAATTTCTCTAACAATTTTTCTCTGATGTAATATAACGCCTTTTCCAGTCCTTAGGAACTACAAAGCTAATAAATAGGACATGTTACATGTATATGCCCTAAAAGAACAATTAGTTAGCACAAATGATTGAAGTAGGATTGTAAAGTCACAAAACATATGATATTTAGACAATTGTCCCTTCTTATACATCTACCATGCATAAAAGGCTATATGTTTTCAAAACCTTTATAATTTATTAAAGAATGAGGTTAAGACGCTAAATTAAGGTTCAAACACGTTTACCTTAAAAATAACTCTCACTATTGATGATCAGTGATATGTGTGCTAGAGTGTTTGGTGGATGCCATCAAATTCCCAAAATTAAACCTTAGATCCACTACTACGAAAAATCATTTTATCTTGGTTGGATGGTTAAGGTAACGTAGGGTGATATGGAATATGTGTTACTTTTCTCCTCGGACCACTAGTCAAAGTGAACAATTGGAAAGAACGTCACTTTTACCCTCAATTGGATTTGATAATTGAGGGGGAAAGTCGCATTTTTCCTCTCGGCTCGAATTAGAATTGAAGTGAAAAACCCCACTTTTTCTCTGGGTTAGTTTTTTTACCTAATGTGATAAGTGTAAGGGGAAGGCTTTTTTTTACCTGATTGAGAGTTCCAACTGAGGATAAATACCTTATTTTTTTTTTAAATATACATTTTTGTAACATTACATAATTTTTGTTTCAACCTATATTACTTTAAAAAAATCTAAATTACATATTTTGTAAAACAGAGTCAAATGACACATTTGTGAAACAACATACCTTATATATCAAAATGACAAATATTTTATACCAAAATTACATTGTTTACACCAAAACTAAAATGACACACATGTTCTCTTTTTACAACAAAAATAAAATATACAAATGGTAAACCAACAAGGACACAACTAAATGAAATCAACATGCTTGTGAATCAACAAACTCAAAGAAGTAAGTTGCCTAACGTGAACATACATCATTTAAGTCTTCTTCTGTAAAAGATATGAAAAAACTAAACTATATAATAAACTATTTTGGTAATGTTGAAGAACTTATGTAATATATATATTTGTGTTTCAATGTTATAAACAAATTGAAAGGTTGACCTAGTGGATAGAGAGTATCTTGTTATTGCAATGGGCATGGGTTCAACTCATTTTGGGATTCTTTCTGCTAAATATTATTTGGATAAATCTCCCTGAGGCAGGTCAGGTGAGATCGCAATCGTCAGGTATGTAGAAAGTATCAATTTTCCTCTTCCTTGTTGGGAAGTCTCTTTTTATACCCGTCCACTCATCAAGGGCCATTAAATGGATGCCCATTTATATCCCAGGTTAAAGTGCCTTCTAGTAACGTCTGTCGTCCTCAGAAAATCTCAAGTAACGCCTATTCCATCAATTTTCGTAACTCATATGCAATCATGGAGATGTTTCGTAACCGCCATATGTGATTGTTCATGTTACCTTCTAGTATTTTCAATAGACTAGATCCGACTTGCGCATCTACTAGAGTCATTATGAGACCGAATTTAACTTGCTTATGTCTTGTACTACCAACTATAAAGGTTTCAAGGATAAATTTCTTCGAGTGAAGAGTGGGGAGAGGTGCCCCCAAGATATGTATGCATTGGACGAGAACTATCATTTTTCAATTTATTGGTAAATTAAATGCTTTGGAAATCTGAGCCTTAGTCATTTTGGATGTCTTTCGAGTAGTTAAAGTTAAGGACTTGCTAGATATGGCCGACGACCCAGAACAAATTACTAAATTCTTGGGTAATGCTTATATATGCCTTTTATTATTCTTTGGCAATCTTGTTATTTTATTTTTCTAAACTTTACATTGTTCTTTTCTTTTCAACTGACATGACGAATCTCAAACTATTCGACCAGAAGAAGTTGATGGTTGAATTGAGAGTGAGGCGTGGAGAATAGTCAGCCTCTAAGAGCGACCTATCTGGTATTCAGACTCAAAATCTTAAAAGGAAAAAAATGGACTATGTCAAAATAGCCCCTTTGTATCAGATCCCCCGACTGTCTCCATTCCTCTCTCTAGAGGATTAAATCGAGTTCTCTAAAAAGGATGAAAACCCTAACGAGCGATCATGTTTGTCATGCCGACTTGGCAATTACTACTATGATGCAAATAGTAGCCATCACTCCAATCCATCAACCAAATTTAAGTTATGATCTAAAAATTTTGACATCTTGAATTATCCTTACAATCATCTAAGCGTGACAAAGGATGTCAAGAAGGTAAAGACTATAGGTGCTCAACAATTGACCCAAAACACCAGGACCTACTTGATGAGATGTGTGCTTAAGACCCAGGGTTTGTTTGAAGTCGGAGATGCTTATGAGTACAAGGATATCCATATTACTAAGGAGGTGGCCCAGCTGAAGGATAGTTTTAAAGTACAGACATACAACGTGGAAGAGCTAAACAAAAAGTTATCAGAGATGAAGAAGCTGAAGGAGACCGTAGAGTCCCAATTTTTAGAAATGAATAAGCAAAAGGAGATCGCAAAGTCCAAATGCTTGGAGCTTTAAATGATCACTTTCAGTTTGATCCAAGATATAGAAAAAGCTCGAGCTCTTAATGAGACACTAAATAAATCTTTGGAAGATACACGGGTAGACCTACTCTCAGTTGGCGATGAGGCTTTTGAGAGAGCCAAAGTTGAAGCGTTGTGTATCATGCCTGATCTTAAGCATTGTGATGTTGCCACTTACATTAGTTAGATGAAAGAAAAGTTTTTGAACCATGATAAGAGAGAGACCCCCATTTGGATTTTGAATCAACAAGTGTGCCACTTACATCACTTATATGGAAAAAGGGGTTTTAATGTTTGATTTGAATTGTAGTAATTAGAAGAGATGTCTTCCTACAGAGATGACTTAAAGTCTCATCTGTGAGGAGATTGATTTGTGTATCTTGATTGAAGCCCAAGATATGAAGCCAAAAGATTGAAAATTGACTCAAGTGGGGAGTTTTATCTGTCTTGTACAAAGCCAAAGATTGAGGCTGACTGACTGGAGAAATTATTTGTTACAAAAAAGCCTGAGAGGAGACTAATGATTGTTAAGGAATTTTAAAGAGACTGACTCAATACTGAGGATTTGACTTACTCTTGTGGGGATTTTTATTTGTATCATGTATAAAGCTCATGATGAATGAGGCTAAAAGATTTTATTTGTATCCTGTACAAAGCTTAGAATGGTGAGGCTAAAAGAATTTAATTGCATAGACTACTAAGGATTGGCTTATGCTTTTGAGAAGCTTGAGGGTTTTTGTATGAAGCCCAAGAGAAGGCTGTGGGGAACTGAATGAGACTTCCTAAGTCTCCTTGTATGAAGCCTAAGAGGAAGTTGTATTGCTGAGGGGATTCTTTGTATGATGCCCAAGAGGAGGCAATGATGCTTGTATAAGGCCCGAGAGGAGGCCAGGGAACTAGTTGTTTGAACTAGATCCTATTGTTTGACCTATGTCTAAACTAAGGATGATGTAAATGCCAAGAGAAACTTAACAAAATATGAACAAAAATGATTGAAGATTCATAATTATAGACATGCTTGAATTCATAGAAGATTGCACATCTTTAGGGTTTAATGTGTTGAATGTTTTATTTGTGCA